ACTACCACTACCACTACCACTACCACTACCACTACCACTACCACTACATACTGCTACTACTACTACTACTACTGCTACTACTACTACATACTGCTACTACTACTACTACTACTACTACTACTACTACTACTACTACTACTACATACGACTACCACTACATACTGCTACTACTACTACTACGACGACGACGACGACTACCACCACTACTAACACTGCCAAATACTATTGGCAGCCTTGATTCTGTTCAGACACCCTCGATTGTTTGCTTGGGAGGGGCCATCTACTAATTGAGATCGAACATTACACACCATGGATTTGCATTCAAACACAGGGATTCCCGGCGCTTCACGTGGACAACCAATTCGATGATGGGTGCAGACCTCAAATGTCCTTAAGTGTGACATAATCAACTCCTGATGTGCGATCATTGGACGTCGTCTGTAAAATGCACGAGATTCTTCACACATGGCAGGGCTTGTAGTGCACCCTAGCATACTCACAAAGAACACAAACGCCTCCTTTGGTCATCCTGTGATCAGTGCAACCCGATTCACACCAAAAATCCAGGTGGGCAATCAAGATACATGATGACGTTTCGGAGCTGAAAATCAACAACTTGCCGGAAAAACGACATGTCAAAGAACATGTGTTTCTGTGTTTGCAGGCGAGAGTCCTCAGACCTGGCTTTTTTGATGGTAGTGCTCATCCAACTGACCGCAACGGATGTTTGAGCCGACAGAGACCTTCCAAAAACTATCCCGGCAAAAGACCCCAAACAGTGTCGATTAGAAGAAGACAAGGGCCAATAAGCCAACTTCCGCGCGCAGCAATTTAGTGGTAGCGGCAGCAGCAGCAACAGCAGCAGCAGCAGCAAACCAGCAAGCCAGGAGCAGCAGATCAGCAACGAGCAACGCAGCTCTGCCAACGTCCACAAACACCTTGCTGATGCAAATCATGCCACTACCATTGCGACAGCCACAGCCCCTCCACACCATTCTACCATTGCTCCGCACCCCTGCGGGTCCACGGACGTTCCGGCCGTCCTTGGTGTCTTCGCCCACCTTCATACGGCGGTTCTTCACGGCCAGCCTGGGGGCGAGGGATGGACTGCCAGCCCCACGATGGCATGTCCCCGGTCTGACCGACCCAGTCAAGTCATTGACAGCACGGTGGGTCCTTCGCTCTCATGAACGCCTGTTAGACCCTCGAGGACCCTTCGTCTCGTCTCAAAGAATGGCGGTGCGGCACTCCAAGCGGTACATCTGTATATCTAATTACAGGCCAGCTAAAGGGCTGCAATCCCCAAAGACGCCTAACTGGTGAACAAGTGCCCAGGTCAAGTGGTGATGTGTAATCAAAACATCAAAACCATTGAAAGCCCAAAATGTTCACAAGGAGTTGGGTGGAACAGTGTCCTCCAAGCAAGTAGAGAGATCCATCTCTCAATTTGCTTGCAAAAAAAGAAAAACTGTTCCACCGTAACTCCTTAGTGATCCGTCTTCTCCTCTGCAGCCTTCTCCAAGGGGAAAAACCCCACCGGTGGATGGTCGAACAGCGCCTGAACTGCTTGAGCTCGTCAGCGACCACACCGCCCAGGCGGATGGTCTGCATGGCGCCATCTAGGTTGGTCGCTTGGGAGAGCAAGGAACGCCACTTCCTGGGTCAGGGTCAGAAGTCCAAAGGAACCAAAGACCCTGAGAAGTTCAAAAAGTGTTGAGTAGATCAATCTTTCAGGCTGGCAATTGAATCAATCTGATCAACGTCTTCTGACATGTTCGAACTTTGAAGGATGAATCCTAACTTTGCACCCAAACAGCAACACCATTCCTGGAGTTTGAACAGGCAGGTGCCTGGGGCCGTATGTGGTTTTTTTCCGTGCCATGTACCGCCTCGTGTCGCAGCCACAGCGTTTGGTCAGACCTTCAGGGTCAAGGAGCTGATATTCCGCCTCCGACTCCGCGGAGAAGCACATGCAAATGTCCTGCTCATGGTCGTCCTGGGACCAGCGGTGAAAAACCGCGCGGCGAAAACCGTGGGGTCTGGAAGGTCTGGAATGGGGATGGAACAGGCCAACAACTGCGGTGCAAAGAATATGATACACAGCCCAAGTGTCGCTGTTGATGCAGTCGAGCTTGAAAGCAAAGTCACGAGCTTTGCACGAGAGGTTCTCCACCTGCGTTGACTGCCGAGCTACACGACGAGACCATGCGGGCCTGGGTGCAACAATGTGGAGAGATAGAAACTGTAAAGGGCCCCAGCAAATCCAAAACACCTGTAGTAAGAAATCCGGAACCAATCTGCGGACGGATTCCTGTTTCATTTGGACAGCTTTTGGACCGGCAGATGGGATGCCTTGCACCCCGCAAACGGAACACAGTTGAACCAGGTGGTCGATCGAATCATGACCCATTCCTCAGCAAAGGAACTTGCTCAATCAAGTGCCGCTGTGCTATGCGGGCGGAATGGCTCCAGAGAAAGGTGCAAACGAAAGAACGGCAAAGCCATAAGGATGCTATAGATAATCTTTGACCTCGCTCCCGGCGAAATCAGCTTTTGTATGCTTTTGTATTGCCGTGATGATGCGTAGTGCATTGTAGAAAAGCTTCAAACTTAGCCACAGAAGAGTCTCACATCTCATGTTACAGACCTATGCCGCTTCATCTGGAGAAGATCAAACACACCATGATCTCCAAAGAACAACCTCTCCCAGTCTCCCAACATGTTGGGACCTTGGCGCCGGCGAGCTTGACTCCGTCCAAGAGCACCAAGCGCTTGTTCTCTTTGATGCTGAAATAGCACAAGGAGCCATCCTGAGTTACAAGAGGGTGAAGCCATGAAGATTCATGAAGTATACTCAGGCCCGGGGTTGTGCTTCTGACAGGCTGATGGATGCTGATGGTTTGAAAGGGTCCGCATGAAAAGAAGCTGCAAAGATTGGAGTGAGGAGATTCTGGAGGGCAAAGCTGTCTTTTGGGAGCAAAGCACCCATGCGATGGATCCAAGAATGAAGAGGTTGAAATCAACCCTTGTAAGAAGGTTGGTGAAGTCTAGGAGGACTCTGGGGTTTCAGTGCGGGGATTTGGGTTACGTTGGACGCGTATGTTATTTTGTTCCGGGTTGGGTGATCAGAATTTGTCCAAGTGAGTTGAAGATCCTTGCCTTTGGTCCCTCACAACATGGTGAGCATGGGCCCTCACTGCAATAAGAATGATGTGTTTAACTGCAAACACATGCCTTTCGCTACGAGGCTTCGTTCCTTTCTTTACTTCCATCGCGTCACACCGGCATGAACGCCGCCACACCGGTGGGCCCCATATGACACCGAGGTGCGCAGGCCACCCACATGTCACGCTTGAGCCAGTGAGCGGGTTCATCCGCGTTCCCATCCTGAGGGGTGTCGAGGTGAACAAAACCCTTCAAAAGCTTGGTGTGCCGGTGTAGTTAGGCGATCTTTTTTGAAGAGTCGAAAAAGAGGCATCTTACAAAAATGGTCAAACATGTGCTTCCAAAAACTGCGGAGCACTTCATACGGAATTGCATAAATTTATCTCCGTATGCCGAGCATGCCACTATGCTGTTCCATTCTCACAGTCCCACAGGGTTCTCGCTTCGTCCACAACGCACGGCGTCCTCCCACAGCGTCCGCACCAAGCCAAATGGGGTCGGCACTCTGGCACCGCAAAAAAGGAACCGTCCAAATTTTTCGTTCACATCCAATTTTCAGTGTCATCTCTTGGTCTGACAATACCTTCCGTTCATCCGCTCCTTCAGAGCGGAGGCGGAAGCCGGAGCGAGGCCTTTCACTTCGTCACTTCTTCACGTCTCTTCCCGGTCGATCCGAGCAACGGTATTGAGCTTGAAGAGGGTGCCCTTGTAGAGTGGCGCCTGTGGTCGAGGGGTACATGGTGACATCCACCCAACAGGGTCCAAACATGGGGAGACATTGACCATGTTGAGCCAGGAAAGTTCCGGAAGACCATCCATTCAAATTCGTTCCATTACAGTACTTCATTTACCGACAGACCTGGACAAACTCGACTCAGCACAAAGAAGGAGCTTGTGGCCTTCTGCCTCAGGGTCAGTCTATCATGCTAGGTGAAGCCAAAAAACGGTTCAATGAACTAATTGGTCGACCTGTCCGCTTCTATTCACCTGTCCACTGCCGGTTCTTGGTTACTCGACCCGCACAGTAACTCGCCCTCCGTCGCCCTCAGTCGACTCGCCTTGCTGGAGGTATCTTCGAAGCGATGCCGATGCTGGCGCTGCACCTTCCTTGGAGCAAACGGCTCTTCTGGGGGGGATCAAACGACACAAAAGAAGGAATCCAACATCTGTTTCCCCAAAGATCTTTTCGGGGGATCCAACATACCCCATCAAACATGTTCGGTATGTTTTGTCGGCATCCAGGAATCCAACCGAAAATTGTGGATGTCATGGAAGAATCACAGAATCGTCACCGGATTCACCGGATACGACGTTTCGACTTCCGGTCATGAAAAACGGTAATTACAAGGTTCCAAGATGCCTGAGTAATTGGATATATTTGCAAATATGCTTGAATATGCATACATATGCTAATCATTCCCCGGAAAAGGCCGGGAATAGGCGACTTCACGTTGGAGCACCGAGAGGCTCTCCTTCATGGAGCTCCTGGTGGGTGGCACTGGCGCTGGACTCATAGATGTAGGGATCGGAAAGACATTGAGCCAGCGACTTCCTGCGCGCCAACGACCAAACAAGACTATAGGCATACGCAAATATATAAATATAGATATAGATATATATTATTAATGAAATATGAGTGGACAAGTCTTGTTAGATCTTGTTAGACTTGTGCCATGTGTGAAGACCATGTTCAAGATTACCAGTGTGATAGTGATTGTTTCAAACAAATCTGTCAACCTGGCTGAGTGCAAAAACCAAATCGTGCGCCGTGATCCACTTCGGGAGGGCACTGGCTGATGCGACACCGCACTTGGCGGTCTTCCGATCAGACCATGTACTTCGAGTCCAAAGAAAAGGGGAGCTTCACTCATGGCCTCGTGGTCACTGGGGATGCTTCACTCGTGTTGCCAAGCTGCGAGTGTCGTCGTTTCCCACATTTCGTGAATGTCCGGTCCTTTTCAAGTGATCGCAAACCAAAAGGCCTTCAACCTGGGCAAGGAGAGGGCAAACAAGAAGGAGGCACCGACGCATTCCTGTGAACATCAACAAGCCCTTCAAGTGCTGCTGGGCTGGATTCTATTCCTATCCCATCGAGAGGTTAGTTGCACCGGAGTTTGCAATGTTTATGGCTGAAGAGAACCAGGATGGTCACAAGTCCGAGAACCAGGATGGCGCTAGAGCCTGAGGTGTCCAAGTGGTTGTTAACAGTCCTCTGATGAGATGCTATCAGGTGTCCTTTGCACGTGTTTGATCAGTAGTATTGTTGTTCCTGATGTTCATCCACACTTTGGAGCACAGTTCAATGACTTCCAGCATAGAATGAGTGAACCTCACCAAGTTCATCAATGACCAACAACCTGAATCCGGCCTGAGAGGCTCACCAAGGCTCGGAGACCCCCCCAGGTCCTACTCCGACACCGGACTTCAGCATGGAATCAGGAGGAATCTGGAGAATCAGACCGAGACAAATTGACCCGACACACCCGACACCCTAACCGACCGACCGATGGGACTGGCATCTTGACCGATCAGTTGGTCTGAGTTCCACCGAAATCAATGTAAGTACGTATACGAGTATGCTTCTACTATAGTCCATGCATGTCCATGCAGAACGGGGCATCGCCACCAAAAACCGACTGTCACACTCTTCGCATCGGCATCGAATGCTCCCACCGTGGTTCCACGGTCACCCGAGATGGTCCGTCTCGTGCCCGCAACGGACCGGAAGGGTCTCTTTTCGCAAAGGGTAGAAAGGGCGAAAGCTGCTTTGACACCAGACCCAGGGTCTGCTCGCACAAGCGACGGTGGAAGTCAGACATCCTCGGATGCTCCAGGAGTGGCAAAGAGTGCCAGGAGAGAATCGACCATGCACATGATATTGCTCAGGCCAAGAAGATTGGGGTTGTTCGTTGTGGCAAATCACGTTCACATCATATGGTGTGCCTTCACATGCGAGAGTCCTTGAGGTGAGGTAACGTGGGAAACTCACGCAAAGGCGGAGGTGAGAGTTTGTCTCGAGTAGTGGGAACAAAGTCGGGGTGGTTCTCAGGTGTACCCAAATGCGTGGGCAAACAACCTCCCTTGGCAAGAATAACCTCATAACCTCTATAAATTGGCCCCACGTGGGTTCATATCATCTTACCCCTTGGATACACGGGTGCCTCAAGGAAGAGAGATCCCCCAAACCACCTCGTGGAGAGGAAGATGTTGCCCACCCATGTTGAAAGTCAATAGCACAGGTTAAGCTTGCTCCATGTCTGTTGCACAATCAAAACCGGTCAAAACATTACCCCAAACCAAATGTTATTCACTGTTATTCAATTTTCTAAGGGCCTTCACAATAAGTGTCCAAGCCCAAGCCCCTCAGAAAGATCCTCAACCCCATCAAATCGGTGCAAATGTCCATCAACTGCGCGTTGGGATCAGCCTGAATGAACAAAGAGAACATCAAAGAGCCCAAGGGTTCAGTGACCTTGTGGGGCACGAGGTTGTTGCTCAATCTCGGACCCTCCAAACTGCCAGAGATCGTCACTGGGCTTTCAAACATCACAAGCATTGCTCCTCTTCCTCTCTCTTCCTCTGCTTTCTGCCCAGCTGCTCTGCAGTGATCTGCTCCAAATCCAGCTGCAAGCTGAGCACCACGAGTCCCGGTAAGCTGGCAAAGCGCTGCACGTGGGGCATCTGCTGCCAGTCACTGAAACGCTCCCAGTAGCTGACCAGTTGTGGTGAAGAGCTCCAACTGTTCCACCAAGGCTCGAAGGGATGGGTCGACTCAGGCAGTTGCGCCTCGGGGCGACGAGTCACGGCCGAGGGATGGGGAAGGCGTGGATGGTGAATATAGGTGGATAACTATAAAGGTGGATATATGGGCTATAGCTGGATGCTTTATGGACTTGTTCATCCACTTCTTGGTAAGGATGAGGTGGATGTATACAGTAGATGTGCGGAGAGTCTAAGAAAGTCTTATTGTTGCTGAGCGCGATGTTCCTTGAGGTGGACATCTCAAGCCTTGTAACAGCCCTGCAGGAACTCACACGGAATCCCTTGGCGCTCTTGAACACTGCCAAAGACCATGACAAAGCTACAAACGAAGCTGCAAGATGTAGGTTGACAAAATGAGCGTGGGGAGTGCGTCGCGGGCATGGACATGGAACCACTCCCCAAAAGGCACAGATGGAAGCGACTCCAGACCTGTGACCGCATGTCACCTCACTATATTCCATGAACTTCATTGAACTTCCAGTCGCTTCCTGCAAATGTTGACCGGACGACCTCTGTTGGGGGCATCTGTGGGGTACAGGAAAAAAGAGTTTGCTTGTGGTTTGTCAGGAACAAACACGTGTAGTAGAGGTGTTTTGGGGGGAGTCTGCTCCTGGTGCTGACTTGTTGGAATTCGCTGGCACATACATTCTCCTTGCTCGACACCCGGAACCTCACGCGCACACCCCGTGAAGCAGAAAAACCTCCATTCTTCAAGCCACGAGCCGTGCGCCATAGGAGGCATAGCCCCAGTTGCACATCTTCTGTGCACGAAAAAGACCTTCGGCATCCGGCATCAGCAGTGGCATCGCCATGCGGTACACCTCATCTGGAAAGATCGGGACGTCCAACGGCTTCGGGGCAGAATCTGAACCGTATGTGGTATGTCCTTCGTTTTCATTCAAGACAGATCAAAACTCAGTTCTGATTGGCATCTTTCGCATCCACCCGACTACCGACTACCACTACTTCTCCTCGGACTCGGCGAAATCACCGAGACGGTCCCAACTCTAAGCAGTCAACGCCAGGTGGGCAACGGACAACGGTTTTGCGTCTTGTGTGATCCTGTTCGCCACAAACAGCTGGAAACTGAGCTGAACGAGTGACCCACACAAGCGTACAACCAAGCGCAAGGTACCTGAGATTCATTGCACAAGTATACCAGGGTATTCAGGGTATTGTAAATGTGTTGAATTGAAAGGTTTTTGGATACAAAACTCTTGAGGAGTGTTCTTGTTACTTACACCTTTTAATTACATCAGTATATCAGTATATCCTCTCATATTCATGGGTATTCATCGGCAAGGCAGTGATACGTCATTCCATCTGATGGTCGATCATCCTCCGGGCGCGTTTCGCACGAAACGGTGCGCCCGGCGCAAGAGCGCCTCGTGGAAGGTGCGCTGATGCAGGTCGTTGGGCCAAAGAATGGCCAAATCAAAGTCCGCCAGCTGTTTCAGCGAGAGCCACTGCTCCTCAAACCTGAGCAGCTCAGCATAGCTCAGCTACCTTTTTCGCTTGAAAGAGAGTCGAGAGTCGTGACGGTTTGGATACAGCGTGCCCTGTGTCTACTGTTTGCATGTTCTCGTCTAAGAGATTTCGGGGAAGTGGGTCCGGGCAACTTGAGAATAACACACAGGTACGACACAGGAAAACTCATGGAGGGCTTGGAGTGCCAAGCATAGATCCACCATGATAGTGTTTCTTCTTGCGGACGGAAGCTGATTTTCTTCAAGGATGCTTAGGATAGCCTCTAAACCTAGCAGGCCCCATTTAGTCTTCGACGATTCGGTGACCTGTCTTCCGTCTATATCTATCCGATTTGGCGTTTGACGGGGCCCAAGGAACTGCTTGTCCTTTCCCAAGAAGATCACCTCCAAGGGATATTGCTCCACGTTCAGGGCCACCACCTCTCGCAACAAGGAGCGAAGCCTGTTCGGTCTTGGTCCGCTTCATCGCGCAATCTGACCCGGTGACCGGGAGTTCAGGTTCGCTTCAGTTGGAAATGCATGGATCCAAACATGGGCTGAATTTAGAGGCTGTTATTTATAGCGACTCAAAGCATTTTCCTTGAACCGCATGAAAAATGAAAAAGAACAAACTCTCCTGCCCACCATATATCACACGTGTGGTGACCCGCTTCTGGGTGCAAACCCTCCGGGAAAAAAGAATAATCTAAGGCTGATCAAGAGACAGCTCGCCCATCAATGACACGAAGAACCTGGATCTCAAGACCACCGCCCGACGTGTACCACTTCGGGTGCTGCTCAGTGCTGCTCCCGGCGTGTAGAGCGCCAAGGGCGGAGCCCAGGAGACACGAACACCGACCTGACTGAAGAGAGATGTCCCTTCTTAAAATGTGAGTGTCAGTGTGTCCAGGTGTGTCATGACAGCGTGTTGAAGTCAACGAGATGAGGTTCCCAGATCTTGCTCGTCGAAAGAAATGTTTGGTTGGGTTCATGGCCTGGTCACACCAGCCAGGGTCGGTCTGGTCTAGAAAGATGTTTGAGGTGTTTCTGTTCCGGAGCCCCTCGGCCGAGCGACTAGAACTCACACACAAAGTGATGCTGTACAAAGCAAACTACCTGACAGTGAGCAACTGCTAAAACCTCTTGCAAGTGGTACAGTAAAGGACATCCCGTGGCATCTCAGTAGGACTTCGTTGGGACTTTCTAGTGACTCTCATGGTCGTCATTTACTGAAACTTGTGAGGTGAGTGAAAATCCATCCCAGAAAAGCGAAAAGCAAATAAGGCAGCACGATCCTGCACACAGGAAAACCCTCAGGTAACTCAGGTAGCACACCTGGTAGTGGATCTGCTCTGCCAGAAAACGCCCCTCCGCCAGAAAGCTCAATTGCTCCCTGCCCAGCAGCAACATGCGGACGGCCATGAGGTAGCTCTGAGCTACCTAGCAACATGTGAGTCCACCCAGTCTTAGCAAGCCAAACATGGAACACTTTGTTTTTTGCTGGACCAATATGGTCATGATGGCCCGTTCGGTTTGATGAGAAGTTGTGGATTGTCTCTACAAGATTCTACTCGGTCAGGTTGTGGTTCGTGTGTTTGGGGCGATGGCCACTATCAGCTGGGCAAAAGCCAGCAGGAAGCCCAGCCCATTGGTTACAAAGAAACACGAGCAGAACATGACAAACAGTCATCAACCACGGGATGGATTTGGGATCCCAGTTGTGCAGAGTGCGGTGTGGATGTATGAACTATAGTATTCAGA